TCCGTTGGAAATCGGGTCCGGCCAAAGTGGTCGTCTCTTTCGGACCCGCTAACGAGAACAAGTGTCTCGCGGTTATACCTGTGTACCCGCCGCCGCGTACTACTTTAACCCGCTACCTGTCCGCGAAGAATTTCAATAAATCCCGCACTTTATATATCGATCTTTCGATCTCTCTGACGTGGATTTCTATATAACGCGATCGGTAAGCCGAGCCGGTCTAGCTTTCTCCAGTTTGTTCATCAACCGTTCCTAATATTTCAAACTGGTACGTATACACGGTGTTCGTCCACGCGCGTGACATTTCGAAGACACTCTATCCTCAGAATATATAACATACATGTACAACGTACATATAATATACAACGCTAACGATTCGTGTCTTCGGAAGACATCCGAGATCTAGCCGGCAACTCGAATGTCCCTTTCGAAACACCGCGTTTAAAGATCGCTGATAATTGTTACGTCACATTAAAATAGAAAAAGATCCTCAAAGTATAAACCAAAATAAATATAATATAAATATATGATTATATAATATATATAATATATAAGTGCATAATATGATTATATATGATTTATATATATATATAAATCAACAGAAAATTTCGAACGTGCTCGATCATTTTCTACGAATTTAAATGCTAGACGATTTATGGTATACAGTTGGTTGAAAATTTTCTCTGCGTGCCACCCCGTACATGCGCTCTGAACGAAAGGAGATCGTTTTTCCATCATAAGAAAACTATCCGCGGAACACGCCATCTTCCTTTCTAATGTACGACCGGTATTTCTCCGGCACTATGACTCGCCACTGTATGTGTGTGTATACAATAAGTAACCGTGTATACGGCTCTAACCCCGACACTTTAATTATTGTTTGGAAAACCAGCCATTCGACGTGGCCAGGCCGCGTATGTAACTCGAATTCGTTTGCAAAGGGAAACGTTGCTTTCGTGGCATGTGGCACGTGCCGCCAACGGTTCGCTGTTCCGGCATTGTCATCTCCCCGGAGGCTGGTGTTTACACAAACGAAACCCCCTCACGCTAGGCACCGACGAACTTCCCGCAGAAGTTGACACTGTCGACCACTGGCCTCTGTCTCTCTGCTCCCCCCCCCCCCACCCCTCTCGTTTTTGAGCGTGTTCGCATAAAGGGAGTCGTTAACGCGGCGCACGTGTGTTGGCAACGCGACGCCGAGGGGGCCGCGACGATTAAGCCGACCGCAAAAAGAGATGAACTCGATTCCCCAAATACACGGTCAATAAGGCGGCGGAGGGAACCGCGGTGACAATGTCGAGTGGGTCTCCCCTCTTATTAGCCCATGAATAAATTCGATTTACTCGATCGGCCGAAACACGCGATTCATTGACAGTGAAAAACGTTCACAGATCTCCCCTGAATGCGGTACCTCGGAATTTTCCTGGAAAGAGGTGTCGGAGCGTAAAAGAACGAAACTAGATCACGGTCCAGAATGTCTGAAATGTACATGTATCGAGAATAATATCGGACCTGAACGGCCTGAACTTGCGCGTAGCCGGAACATCTGCGCCCGTCTGGCAGCCGTGACTTTTTTTTTATCACGGCGGCTTTTTTGATCGGTAGATGCACGAGAAGAAGCCGGTGTGTGTTGCGCAACACGACGGAGATTAATTTTTGCAAGCCGCGTAACAGACGCGGCACGGCAAAACAGCGCGCTGGCTAAAGAATTTCTTCGAAAGTGCACGCGGATGGCAAAGGTACAAAAGATGAACGCTGACGCTTGGACGGACAAAGAAATCGTTTAGTCGCAGAATACATTGTACGCGAACGATCCCGGAGAGAAGCGTAACGGACCCTCTCGTTCGACGTTCAAGATTTATAGAATGTTTTGTGCTGCCAGTCACGAGAGCGCTCATGGTTCGATAGCCGCCGCGCGTATTTACCTCGATAAGAGGCAATATGGAATGGCACTCCACAAGGGAGGTCTCTCCTCGACCGAGATCGGTGCCAACAACGCAGCGGGTCGCGATAGACTCGTGAATGGTCTTGTTGTAAACGATATCGAAACGTAACCCCCCGTTTCCGTTTTGTCCAATAATAGATTTCCCCCATTCTGCGGTTTCCCCCTTATTCGCATGAAGATTGTGTTACACGGCTCCGCGAAGGGAGGTTGCGGAGCCGATCGTACAACGGAATTGCGGTGACGATCGGGACGGTATGTACCATCGACGCATTTTTTTCCAATCGAACTATCAACCGCGCAATTTTTAACCTTTTAGGTACGGCTGAATTCTGCGCGAGGCTATTTCTCTGGACGGCAGAGAGTCTGATGTGTACTGTATATACAGGGTGTCCCAAAAATGTCTCGCAATCCGAAAGTGGCGGGTTCCTCAGGCCATTCGAAGCAACATTTTCCTTTACAAAAATTTTCTCCGAGGCACCGTTAACGAGTTATTAACGAAAAACAGTGACCAATGAGAGGCGAGTTCAGCTGGCGCGAGGCGATCGAACCAACGAGCGAAACTGGGCTTCGTGCGCTGGCTGACTGGGCCGCCTCGCGTCAGCCGTACTCGATTTTTATTGGTCACTGTTTTTTGTTAATAACTCGTTAACGGTTCCTCGGAGAACATTTTTGTAAAGGAAGAAGTTGCTTCAAATGACCCGAGGAACCCGCCATTTCCGGATTGCGAGACATTTTTCGGACACCCTGTAGACTGTTGTAAATCGATGTGAAGACAAAAGAAGTGTGAAACAATGCATATGAAGACGATTATTTGGTTCAAACGATGAGCGAATGAGCTACTAGAGCAAGCCACTAGTGGCGCGTCGTCCAGAGAGATGACATCCGCGAAAGCCACTATAGTGGCGTGT